CACCCGAGTGCAACCGGTTGTCGACGGCGAATATAGATTTACTTTCAGTAGCTGGCGACGTCAAAATGTGCAAAGCGCATCGTCTCAAATCTGTAAACAGCTTTTTACACAGGTCCATTTGGGGGCGCCTGGCGTTCGGCTTCAGCCAAATTTGCCAGAGATCACTTATTTTACCCTCTTCAATTTCATTTGGCAAATTTTATGGAAGATAAATATCAGACTTTATTTAAAGTCTGACATTCACTTATCTCACAATTTTCATACCTTGAGAACGTGATAAGCTAATGTACATATAACAAATAGTTTATTTCATAAGGTCAACATTTTGAAATGCTGTTAATAAGTACTTTAGTTAAAGAAATTTTCTTCTCAGCCTAGGTTGACCTATCAAAATCTCGAGAGCTTAATGTCTTTGACCAAAACAGGCCGAGACAATATCCCTTCTTTTTTATATTATCTACGTGATTATATGAAACTTTTCCAGTAATATAGGAGACTTCTCCATTCTCGAAGTTAAAAAAAGTTCGGAAACCAAACACCGAACAGCAAACTTGTCAGTTCATCTGTTCTTGGTGATTATGCTGATTGTTAATCATGTTGTCAACCTGCTTTTTCACTAAGCGCTCATGCAATATAGTCTGTTGCAAGATAAGGTTAGCAGTAGCTGCTCTGACTTGAGCGCGAGCTATCTAAACTTCCGTACTGCTCGGTACACGCGCAGCCAAAGCACGGCGGTAGGCAACCAGCGCACGCTGCAAGCGGAGCTTGTAATGTTCTTTATTTATTTTTTCTTCTGGAAATTAGTGTCCACGGGTATGGCCGTGGACAATGGTAATCCTCCCTGTGCATCAGCGCAGTTGTTTCACCACCGAACCTGGCCGAAATTAAAGGTGGACGTAATCAGACACATATGGTGTTCGTAAAAAAGACGACAATTTAGGCTCGAAACCACTTCGTGGTTCGCCCAGTGGCTGATCAGTACTATTGTTTCATTCGCCGTGTGCTACAAGAAAGAAATTTATATCGCAAAATTAAGGGAAAACGGCATGAAACAGCAAAACAATCGCGTGCACATTGAAACCGAAACCGACCAAATTGAAGCAACCCAATGGCGGCGAGTGCGCCAGCGCCCTCTACCCACCGGTCAGGCAACTACTGAGATGAAAGAATCTATAGTTCACTCCCTCTCTCTCTCTCTCCAAGGGCCGCTCATGTCTTTCCTGTGCCGCCATTTACTTGCAAGGGCCACACGAGGCAACGGCCCTCTGCATTGCCGCATTTTACGCGACTTTTAAGAGAAACACATCAAAGGCCCACAGATAAGTCCGAGTAGGTTAGAGAAGGTTAAAACAACTGAATCGTCGCCTAAAAACTAACACGAAGCGAATTCTCCGTGTTTGTCCATGAGCAGTTCCGTAACCGATGGTAAATTTGGAGTACCTAATGTACTCGCTTTGGGTGTATGAATTATGGTATGTTGACAGTAAAACAGATCGTTGCACTCTAATATTGTGCATTTCTATAGACGAACTCAACTCTCCTACGTCACGCCGCGGTGGTGGCGCGCCGAACGCACCTCCGGTCTGGGGTGGTGGGCAGAAGTCGCCGTGCCAGACATGCATTTCTGTGTTCCTTTGAAAGAAACGAGACAAAAAACCTGCCTTCTCGTCAAAATGCTGCGATGGGGGTTGCACCAAAAGAGTCTGGAAATGTTTGAAGATCAGTTTTCATGTGTTTTTGTCCCCTCCGTTCGTCCGAGAGCGTGGATAGTAGCCGTGAAAAGGCCAAACCAGACGCTGTCGAACTACGATTGCGTGTGAGGGCAACACTTTGTGGTCACCAGACGTATTTGCTTTGTTCCAACATGAACGAGAGAAAACTGCCAAATTGTCCGGACCGCCCACGGGTTCAGTGCGTCTTCAAATTCACACGGCCGCCTGATCGTTCGAACTTTCGTCTGCTCTTCCAAACTTGTCTGCTTTTTTTCGTCTGCTCGTTCAAACAAGAGCGGCCCGTAGACCAAACTTTGATCCAGTGATTGCGATAAGAAGTAATTGCAGGCCTCGAAAGACTTAAAGGGAAGCTACGGAGCTTCTTGGAAAAAATGAGTTAAAAGTGAATTCTAGTGTATTTTTACCCCGTGAACCCGAATACCCACACCATTTGCTGCGTAAGTATTGTTAGACGCGAGAAAAACGCGAAAGACAGTCGCCGTCCATGACGTCATCGACGGCTCTTTTGGCTGCCCAAGGCTAGGGGGACGGGGCTTCAGCCCTATTTTGAAATTGCTCTTGTGGCTCTCCGGCGCGTCGCATTGAAATATAATTTTGATATCTGTTATTCGAAAGGCCAAATGAACGCAATTCAAGCGTTTTTTCTCAAATGTAGAAGTGCCCCATCTTCCCTTTAAGTAGGCTCGGTGTAAACAGTATAGATACAAGATGTTGATCATTGGTACTGGTGGCCATCACCGACTTGTTACGCTTGGTCTGTTCCCGCTTCCGATTTTCAGTGTCGACGTCGATCATCGCCGCTACCTTCTACACTTTTGTAGCACGAGCGACGTCGCGACCGAAAATAGCTAGAAGAATCTCATCATGGTTTTGGCGTCCATTCTGTGGCGTTCATGCGAATGAATCGCCGCACGTCAAATTATTTACGGAAAGTTAAGCGGCGTAACGAGCCTTGATAATTTCTCTCAGGCGATTAAAGTGGTAAGACACTGCGATGAGGACGTAGAATCGAAAATTCCAACGCGAAAAAGAGTGTGCAGACTCACACAGACGCCGACAACGTGACATTCGAATGGTTTGTTGACGCGGGACGCGGTGCTTCTTGCCCGCACTCCCTTGCGCATCCGTTCGAACTGTCGTCTGATCTTTCAAACTTGGCTGCTTTTTGTCGTCAGCTCGTTCAAACGACAGCGGCCCGTAAACCAAACCTTGACCCGGCAACTGCGATAAGAACTAAGTGCAGGCCCCAAAACACTTTTGAAGGTTTTTTGGGGTAACTAGGCTAAGTGTAAGCAGATACAAGAAGATGTTGATCATTGTTACCAGTGGACATCACCAACTTGTAATGCCCGATTCTACTTGCGGTTTTTAGTATCGACGTCCACCATCTCAGCTACGGTCCACGCTTTTGCAGTCCGAGCGACGTCGCGACTGAAAATAGCGAGCAGAATCTCATCGTGGGAGTCAGGCTTTAGCGCCTATTCTGCGGCGTCTACGTGAAATGAATCGCCGCACGTCACATTATTCACGCAAAGTTTTGCCTCGTTAGTTTTGCTGAAGTCGCTCAAGTAGCCAGACATTGTTAGGAGGATGTAGAATCAACAATTCCAACGCGAAAGAGAGCACGCGTAGGACTCCCACAGACGCCGACAACAACGCAATTCAATGGTTTGTTTATGGGCGACGGCGGGCTTCTTGCCCACCATCCACCGCGCATGCGCGGCGCCGGTGGCGTCCGCTAGGGGCGCTCCGGTTTGTTTATAAACATGAGTTGGTGTATACTTTGGAGTATATTGTATAGGGAGTTTAGCGCAGTGCGTGGCTTAGGTGACAAGTGTGAGCTCAAGTGAGTTAACATTGATTATTATCAAGTTCAAAGGAGCAGCCGGCGCCGCTATAGCAACTGCCAATGTCGCCATCTTTTCCCCCAGTTATTAAAAAGCGATTCAAGAGCCCTCCACGCTCGCGCCTTTACTGTTGTGGATGCGAGTTCACCCTTGCACGCTAAAGATGATACTAGCAAAAAATTGTCCTAAAACCGTTGCATATCCCCCAACGGAATTCCCCATGAGTTGATCCAATAACGTTGCCGCACACGAAACACACCCGGGAATCCGCTGCGAAACCTTGCCAATAGCAACTGCCGCCGTGAAAGAGAGCTAGCCTGCCCATCCACTTAAGGGGGTCCTCGTCCGCACTCTGGAAAAAAGAGGGAGCTAAGATAACTAAATTTGCACGCTCATTCCCGATACCACTACAGCCGTGTGTCGTTAACACCGGAACCGGTCAATATAAATACCCCGTTACTCACACGAATTTTTCGGGGATGAACGGCGTAAATAAATGCATTTTTATCTTGTTATTATGGACGACTTACACTATGGCTGATGTTTCTTGGAAACAAAAGTGTCCATATTAACGAGACCAGATTGAATTTTGTAATGCAAATGGTTTGGGTTTCATTTTCTAATGCCTCAAAACGTGGTCGAAGTCTGCACTTTGCCCTTCATGACTCCCTCCCCCTTTTTCCCTCGCCTAACGTCCGCTGCTTCTCCTTGCACACTTTTGAAAACCGGAGACGACGGACGGTCGTTTCCGTCGTCTCCGTCGTATCCGGTTTTCAAAAATGAGCAACATCAACCAGCTTGCCTACCTACTTTATGCTTCTCCTTCTTTTGATCCTTCAAAGAAAGTTGCCGATGTGAAAAGAATGAGTAAGCGACTGAATTACTACACTTGAACGGAAACTGAAGCGGTTTTGTATGAGGAAAAACCATTAAATCGTCTTTATTTCACCTCCAAGATCATGAACATCACAGTTACATTTCAGATTGATGTGCCGAGTAGTCACAACAGCGCTTTAAAAATAGCGCTGAAGCCCCGCCTCCTTCCCGGCGCGTTCAGTGAAGGGACGAAATCGTGGCGTCTGCGGAGGTCTCAACATTCCCGCGCCTTCCGCAAGCCTTACCCGAGCAGTCAAAAGCGCTGCCCATATTCCCTCACAAGCGGCACGCACAAGGCAGTTGAAACCTCTGGGTATGACTTTACCCCGATGGTTAGTTTTTCGGTTTTCTCGCGTCCAGTGATACGTCCGGGTCAAATACTTGCGATATTCAAATTCACGGGACAAAAATACACAAGAATTCACCCCTGTATCGTTTTTGTTTTTTTTCAAGAACCTCTCAGTTTTTCTGAGAGGTTTTTTTCTCTTTATTTTTATACTTTATCACTCACTGCAACTAATATTGCAATGCTTCTTCGTTTCAGATATGCCCGAGAGTGAGGACTGTCTATACCTGAACATATGGGCTCCGGAACAGAACACGTCTAAGAAGCGACACGTCATGGTATGGATCTACGGGGGCGGGCTTATCGTGGGCTCGGCTAGCCTACATCTCTATGACGGTTCAATCCTATCCACATACGGGGACGTGGTCGTAGTCTCGATCAACTACAGACTCGGTGCATTTGGATTTCTCTTTGGTGGAACCGATGATGTGCCAGGCAACCAGGGGCTGCACGACCAAGCGCTGGCGCTCGCCTGGATTAGCGACAACATTGAACGCTTCGGTGGAGACCCAAAGCTAATGACACTGTTTGGACAAAGCGCAGGAGCGTGGTCCGTTCAGTTTCACCTGCTTTCGCCAATTACTCAGTCCATGGTACACAGGGCCATCACGCATAGCGGAGGAGTTGACCAGAAAGAAATAGTGGCGAGTTCAACCTCAATGCTGGAAAGAGCGCACGACTTTGCCGAGTTTCTTGGCTGCTCGGATGGCAATAACGCGACGCAAGCATTAAGCGCAGCTTTAATCAGTTGCCTTCAAAACGCGAACGCCACACTCCTGGCTGTGGCGGAAAGGTTATTTACGAAAGGAGCGGCGGCGTTCTTCCGGCCAATATACGGGGACTCGTTCATGCCTGTGGAGCCGCGACAGGCAGAGTTTCCCGGAGACAAGGACGTACTCTTGGGTCATCTCGACAAAGAAGGCGCATTTTTTATATATCAAGACTTCAGGGACTCCTTCTCGATGACGCAGCCTATTAACAAGGCGGACATGAACTACTTCGTGGGCGAGATATTCTCCGCGTCGGATTTTTCTACACTGCAAAGGCTCCAAGAAGAGTACATGGGACATCTCGGAGACTTTGATTACGATGGCTTAAGACGCGGGTTAGCCGAAATGAGGGGGGACTCGCACATTGTTTGCACGACTCTGGGCACAGCTCGCAAGCTGGCCAATGCAACGGCACTCAACGGCACCGGGGCGGGCGTCTACTACTACAAGATCAGTCGGGGGCCTCGGTGCAGTCAAAGGCAATCCTGGTTCGACACGACGCACGGGGACGAGCTGGCGTACGTGTTCGGGATTCCCTTCATGGAGGGGGGCTGTATCCTCGACGCCGATTTCAGCCGTGTCATGATGACCGCCTGGACTGAGTTTGCCAAGACAGGGTAAGTGTGGAGTGTCCAAAGTCACCAGGTTCGATCTAAAAAGGACCGTTAAGGGGTATTCACACGAGGGACAAATCCCGGGGATTTCTCCCCGGCACGCGCATCCCACGACGAAAACGTCAGGCTTTGCGATGTGCAAAAGCCTCGCGTTTTCATTTCGTGATGCGCGCGTGCCGGGGAGAAATCCCCGGGATTCCTCCATCGTGTGAATACCCCTTAAGATCGACGCCTGCACGAAGCAATGTAAACTTATCGTCAAAGGTGAATTTCACAGGTTCGTTTTCACTTTTAAAATTACAAAGGGTAGGACTTTTTCTGTTAAAAATAGGGCCAGAAATATTATCAGGGTCAACGGCGGAAGGCGATGCAGACGACCGAGTCAGGTGGCGGGGAACGTTTGGCGCACGTATTGATAGATGGCGCTACCTCCTTTTCGAGACGGCTCACGACGACCGTGATTTACTAAAATAAAAATAATCTTTTGTAGTGTATCTTCGGTTTAAATATCAATATGGACAATAAAAGCAAAACTTGAAAAGAGAAAAAAAAAAGCGGTTGCATAATGGCGGCGTTCTTGCTGACGACGGATTTCGTTTGCGTGTTGTCGTCTATCTTCTCCAGAGATGACAAAATTACTTTCAAAAACTAGTTAAATTACATTACTAATTACTTTCTTGAAAATTGCAAAACTGTAATGAAATTACATTACGAATTACCGCAGACTAAAGGTAATGACATTACATTACAATTACTTTCTAAAAGTAATGAAATTACTTTGAAATTACTTTTAACATTACTTTTGAATAACTTGAGGCAGTAATTCGTGCTCACTTTATTTACCGTATACACGAACACAGTGTTTACAAAACAAGCCCTCGTTTGCCCACACAGTGCGTGTGTAGCAACCAGATTCGGGAAAAGCGAGGCGCTGCGCAAGCGCATCGCTGATAGCGGCGCCACCGCAGTGATGTGACATCAAAGATCTGAGTCGGTCCATATGCACCAAAGCTCACAACTTTCCGTTCACACCGCAACAACCTTATGTGTCTCAAAATGAACCATACTGAACAGCGGTTTTGCTTGCGCACACGACATAAGTCTTAAGCCTGATGAATATAGCTTTTTTCGATGTGAGTCAGAAAGGCAGTCAACTCACCGGTTTCGCTGTTCATTCAACGGTGAAGGTTTACTAAAAGAGTGATGTGTTTCCGTCTTCCTGATTTAGAAGTTGTAGTCCGTGTCAGTTTGTTAAGTCGGGCAACGGCAGCTCGTTCTTACAAGGAATCGTCACGTGGAACGTTTCCCTTCCGCCTCCCCCCCAGACGCGATCTAATTCTATTCTTGCGACAACGCTTCTTGGAAATACAGTGGAAAGGAGGAGAGGCCGCGCACAGCTTTACTCAGCACTTAAAATGAGAGAGGAAACGCGTGCCTGTACCCACCACTGCATTGCCAAGAAGAGTTGTCGCCGAGTATAGTTGAACTATTCTCGGTCATTCCTTTCAAGGATAATTTTTTTCCAAACACCCGAAGAGCCAAAGTTTTTGCGCATTGTCACACAAAGGGCCTGAATAATTGATAAGTAGAAGCATCGCCAGTTGAGGAATGGCGCGAGCTTCCTAAATGTTGTACTTTCCCAACAGACGGGGGGCGATCTCTCCTTGTAGGCTTATTCCCGAATAAACTTCCCAAGGGAGGGCAAGCACGAGCGGCACCTGCTTTGCTCAAGGACGCACGAAACGTTCTGGGGCTTTGACAAGGCATTTGGAATTAACTGTTCATTCCGGTCGTTTATTGTTCACAATGGTCGAAGCTTAAGGTTCGACCTTGCTTGACAAAATTACGAGACCCGGGATCTGTTTGTCCTGTCCTCTCAGGTTTTAGAACGTGCTGACCTCACTGGTGATGTTCCCTTCGCCTTGTTGCCTAAAAGCCGTTCATCTCTAAGCTGGCAGTGCGGTGGAAGCTACGTGCTCGTTGGAACAGTCACACGTCTATCTTTTGACACGTAATCACTCTCTTGTTCATGCCCACGCGCAGAAAAAGGGACGAGTTAGGTGATCAAAGGGAGGTGTTTAATTGGTTCTGGTTAGCTTGCAGCTCCCACCGTTCTGTCAGCTTAAAGATGAACGAAGTGTAATATCGTCGTGATGACGCGACGCCGTGAATCCGTCGTGCCTGGAGTTCGTAAGCCTTTGTCTTTTAGCGATGCTTACACGTAAGCCTTTTTCCTTCGCCATTCCAGCCCTCCTTTGTGCGCCTGTTCAGGTGGCCGTCAATTATTTCCTCTGACGCTCTGTCACATCGTTTCACCATGCAAAATAATTTTCTCTTTCTTAAAGCTTGCAAACGAATTTTCTAATTTAAGACATAAGTAATTTCAAAAGTAATGAGTAATTTTATCGAAATTACTGCCTGAAAGTAATTAATTGCATTACTAAATTACTAGCCCAGAGAAGTAATTCATTAAATTACTCATTACTCCAAAAAGTAATTTAATTACTGTAATTCCATTACAGTGATGTCATTACTGCCATCTCTGATCTTCTCCCGCTGGTCGGCTATACGTTCCGACGCTGCTCCCGACGACATCTATCAATACGTGCGCCAAACACACCTCGCAACTGAACTCGATTGTCTGCGTCGCCGTGCGCGGTTGACCCTGGCAAGTTTTTTGGCCCTATTCTCGCAGAGAGCTACGCTTTGTAATTTTACAAGAAAAAACAAACCTGAGAAATACATCTTTGACGAAAAGTTTAGCTTGCTTCGTGCAGGCGTCGATTTTTACTGTACATTTTAGATACAGCCTGGCTACTTCAGACACGCTTTATAAGACCTTGTACTCGGTGCTGAGGATGGCATGGCACAGTCACTGTTATTTTGTGAGTAGATAAAACCGGTAAAACGCTTTGTAAACTATTAAAAAAACGTAATTATGTCACCGCAAGAGCGAAAGCGGAAATTGCGGCGCGTTGCTATTAGGATAATATTATGTTGAAATTTCGTGATTGTACATATGCAAGGAAACTTTGTTTGATGCGTGTAAGCTGTGTCGGTAACCTTTGCTGTCTTCCGGTCTTCATCCCACTTCTGTCATGGTTTGTACTTTCCCGACCAGTAGTGTAACCAGGAATTTAAGAAAAAGAAAGGGGTGAAAATGGGGGGGGGGGGGGGGGGGGAGCTTCAGCCACATAAGGCTCACCCCCTGCTGTGTGTCTGATTTCGTACTTTTTATTTTATTTTTTACGAAACCTTAAGTTAGTTTTTTCGGCTTGCGACTGATCGTTTTGGCTTATTTCAGTCATTAACATCACAACTAAAAGAGGAACTTTAGGCTAAAGGATGCACGAGTGGTCGTCCTAACCAAAACTCACCGGAACAATTTCAGGCAGGTGCAATTCGAGATTTATAACTGGACTTTAGAATGAAAGATGATATGAGTACTTATGCATAAACTATACCCGTTTTCACCTCAAGAATTGTAGTAAAATAGGCCAGTCTCTTCGTGGAGCCATTACTGATTTCTCCCTTTTATGTAAAGTAAGGTATGTCTAGGTGCACTTTAGATACAGGTTATCTTATCAAGACGTAAGCGTTTGAAATGCCAAAAGCATCGCGTCTTCTTCCTGCAACCAAATGTTGTATGAACTACTTCCCGCGGCGTACGAACAATGCGCAAAAAGTCCTTAAAATAAAGACGAGTATTGTTTTTTTTTTTTTTTTTTGTTTCTCTTGAATAATGTTACCATCAAAAAAAGTCGCGGCACGCAAAACAATAAACCGAGAACAGTGGCGGTCTTTACTAATTTCGATAATTCTTTTTTTTTTTGGCAACTTTCAGCTTATTCACACCTTGTATCAGCTTAAATCCAGACGCAGCCGAGGCTACCAACTAATGGGATCAATCAAGTAGCGTCAAAAGCGCAAATCACTGAGCCTTTTCTCATCCGTCTACAATTGGTTCAGAGATCATAAACACGTAGATACACTACAGACACCATGATGATACGTTTTTGACGCTATCTGATTGGTTACATCAGCTCGTAGCGTCGGCTGCGTATGGACTTAGGTGAAACGAAGAATGTGGAGCGTAAGTTCGTCTGCTTCTTGGATATCTGTTGCGATGATGTCGGAATGCCGAGCTCTTATGGGCTTATCGAAAACAAATAGTGAGTAGACCTCGAGGCATCTATGGCACTGAGGTTTAGCCACTATCCTTTCAAAGCCAATCAGCGCCCGGCATCGTTTTGACGTCATCGCAGCTCCTGCACAAGCAGCAGACGGCTTGCTTTCCGCACACTTCAAGATTTGGTGTGCTATGGCTAGGAAGAAATACCGAGGGCTTAACAAATCTTGCGGTAATGCTGGCGGAAGAACCTTAAATACTATGTTTCGTAACTACAGTGATGTTGGAAATACTTTACACCAATACCAGCATAATAGAATCTAACACACGAGGCGAAAGAAAAGGTCTACTTTACTATTTAGTTATACATAAAAACGCACATATTTCTGGGGTTCTTCGTTAAGAACACAAGTGCCTTTATTTCCCATTTTATTTTTAAATAACGGGGACGAAATGCTGCCGATCGAAGCATAGAAAATTTTAGTAGCTTAGTAGCATAAAAACACTCTCCCGTACGGATGAATATGAAATAAAAATCAGTTGGCAGACGTAACCACAAAAAGAGCTCAAACTTATACTTTTCGTAACATGTTCGTATTCGTACGATCTTTTTGGTTAAATTTAAATATGTAGTGAGAAAACGTTATCTCGCCGTTCTTCCACTCGCTTAGTATGGATTTCGCAACTATGTAGGCGTAAACATGTTTGACGGAACTCTGTTTGGTTCGGTCAGAAATGAAACAAATACCGACCTTCACCAACTAAGTCCTAAAGAGAAAACGTTTCAAAACCGATTCGATTTTTTCATCAAGGGCGACTATTTTCACGTGGAGAGCAGCAGCTTCTTTTACCTACGAGTCACAAAGCCTCGGAG